ATATCTTACACATCGAGGACTCAGGTGGATGAAGGGGTTAGTTGTATGTTATGAGTTTACCCCCATCTTAGAAAGTTCAAGACTAGTTTCACTTATTTAAGAGAATGATTGCTCATCATCACTATGTACTAGTTCCAGATACGTTCACTAGTGCTTAAGCAATTAATCTCACTATTGCTCTTCTGGAAAGATTGTTTTTGAGTTTTAGAAGAATTTTTTTCGCATTAGTGGGGTAATGTTGGTAATGCTCAATCCCACATAGTATTGGAAATACTATTGGGAATGGGTATTTAAGGTTTGGATTCTCCACTTCCTTGTTGAGTGAAAGAGAACAAGGGGAAATCTCGTGAGCCGCCGTCCTTCTCATCTCGGCTCGGCTTATGGTCGTGGTCGGTTGTGGTCGTGGTCGTGGTAATAGGTGTCATCGACACATCCGCGCGGATACTATCTTTTTAGAGAATATTATTGTGGAATTTCTCTTTGAAAGAAACAAATGGAAAAAATGTGATATTTATAGGCTGCTGAGGATTGTTTAAATTCAAATGATAACAGTTGATTTATGAGTTGTCATAAATTAAACAGTTTTTTTCCTAAATTAAATCAAAACGTTAAGATGTATCTGGACTGATTTTCAGCTTTGTACAAAGGAGACAAGTTGTTAATATCATGAATTACAATGATTTAATTTCATGAGTTATAACAGCTGAATAATGAAGCAATGAACCTGGACTATTTTTAGGCAGATTCATCTGGACATTTCAGCTGTTACAATTAAGGGTTTTAATCATGATTTTTTATGAACGATTTTAATCATATATCTAGCCTATAAATAGAGAGTTGGATTCAACTTCTCAACTCACTCTCTACATTCAAAATTCACTCTCCAAGTGTTTTCTAAAGTTGTTCTCTATGTGCTTTCTGATCAGAAGTGCAATACCACCAGCAGTCCACTCTGGTTTTGGGTGTACGAAATTTGGAGCGACCGTGTTAACCTCGGGGGACGGTCCGCCAACTGCAACGATTACACACATCGGGACGAATTCGTTTCTACGACAGTGAATTTTATCACGACACGGTTTACAAACTTGTTTCATTTAAATTATTGTTTATCTTTCCTGACAGTGCTAATAGTGTGATTTTGCAGTCTATATTTCCAACATAAGGCTACATGAAGGCTTGAGTCTGGCCTTGAATTATGGTATTCATCGGGTAGTGGTTGAAATGGATTGCAAGGAGGTTGCGGAGTTGATTCAGCCAGCTGGAACATTAAATGGTTCATAACATATGCTCCCACATATATCATCTTTGTTGAGTAGAAATTGGGAGGTAATTATTTCTCATGTTTATAAGGAAGGTAATCTTGTGGCCGACCGATGGCCAAGCGTGTGCGACAACTCCCGGTTGGGTTGCATTGGTTTGATCGCCCACCGCGGGAAGTTACAACTTTGTTAAACGAAGATGGTCGGGTTGCTTCTGCACCATAATGAGTGAATTACCCTTTTTACTAAAAAAAAATTAACTACAATATATAATTTACAAATTAAAAATAAAATTAATAATATAATATTACTTAATAAAAAATAAAATATACATCTACTTACAATTTTTTCTTAAAATTTTCTCCTATAATGTTAACTTCGATATTCCCTATGTAACACAAAAAATTTAAATCTCAACCACATATTTATCCATCAATCCACAACAATTCAATCCACCAAATTCTTAAATTTTCAATGCATGCCTCTCACATGCGTACTACACCCCTCCTATCATTGCCCTCTGGACCCGCCTGGCTTCTGCTGTTCTCTTTAAATGTGTGATAATAGAACAGTGTATTTGACTGATATACATGTCGTCTACACTGTAACGGCAACATTTAATTATTAAATATGATACATATTAAAGATGGTAAACAAAACCACCATTTCTAATTTTTTTATTAAAAAATAAATTCAATAGTGAAGACTATATATAAATATACTATCTCTAATTCTTAAAATAAATTTAACAGTGTTTACGATTTATAATCAAACCAACTTTCAATTTATACTGTAGACACATCTTTTCGTTCGAAGTTAATTTATTGTGTATATATAGTATTAGTGTATTATTACATTAATATTTTTTATTACTTATTATTTAGTATTTCTTAATTATCATTATATTATTATTATTACTTAGTATTATTATATATTATATTATGTCATCCGTATTATTACCATATTCTATGTTATGTATATTAGATATATTATACATATATTAATATTTTATATTATTGTATTACTAGATTTTATTTTATTATATAGTATTATTTATCTAATTATTATTTATTTGTAGGTTCAATATGGGCAACTCATTAATTGAAGCCCAATAGAAAATAAGGCCCGTGTGTGGATCCAACAAAGTTAGGGTTTATCTTTTGCCTTCAGCCATTAGCATCTCTGTCGTTGGATTAAAGTGAGATACAATGAATTATAGTGGGTTATATTTTAGGGTTTTGAGAAAATCTAAACTTCAATCCACACAGTTGCAAATCAGTCAAAGATCTTGCTTCACAATCCGATTTTTGTGGATGCATTTTCGATGATGTTATCACTTAGCGGGAAAGATATTCCGAGAAAATCAAGCCAAAACAGAAAAAGGGGATAGTGTTTAAAACTCTAAAAAACTGGATCTTTAAGTCTATAAATCCCTACAAAAATAAAGATAAAGGAGGTTAGATTGAAAGAGAAAAAGAAAAAGACTTGTAATTTCGAAAGGAAAAAAAAAATCAATGAAATAGATATTTTTTTTTACCTTTCCCCGATTTTGTCTTGCATGCTTGCATGTTCAACTGTTTGGTCTCTTTGTGGTTTTTTTTTTTTCTCTAAAAAAAACCACCACAGAATGAGGAAGTCATTGATTGGAAGAGGATGATTGCAAAAGATTTTTCTCAAATCTTGCTCTCCTCGAGGCTTTCCGATGAGAACAGTGGTAAGATTATAAAATAGGAGGAAGAGAGCTTTCAAATGCTATAAGAAGCATTCGATTTCGTCGCCGATGACGACCTACAGCGGCTAGCAAAACGGAGCACCACTAGAATCAGGGTTCCCTTTGAACCTGGTTGAATATTCTTCAACAAATGAAGATCGGTTGAGAGAAATGATAGGATTGTCTTTTGATTTTTTTAGGGCGAGTAAAAATGAATTGTATTTCTAAAAATTATGTATTTTATACTCGACCTGAGTTCCCGTTTGAAGGCCCCAGGATCCGCGCATCACAGTCCCTTCAACTTTTTCTGAAAATTCATTTCAGTCATATCCTTTTCCTTTCTAGAAAAATGCTCTTGATTTCTTTCGACTTAGATTTAGAGCTTGGTTTTAAATTAAACTTTTAATTTCTGTTATTGCTAAGTCTTAATTACTCAATGTTTTATGAATTTATTTTCTTACAATTGCTTTAATTCCGTTTTGTTTAAAATTTACCTTTCTCGATTCTGTAAATTTGGTAAACTGTCTCCTTCCATTTCATTATTTTTTTAGTTTAATTCTCCTTTAAATGCTGCCTAATTGTCTCTTTAAATCCAATTTCCATCAAAATTGAGGGTCCCATTCTCTTGTTTTTCTTGTTCTTTTTACTCCTTTTTATTAGTTTTACTCCTTGCCATTTATTTATTATTTTCTAGCTTTTATTCTGGCCACTTTTGAGTTTAGTAATTCTTTTTTATTTCCATGTTTGCCTAATTGTTTCCTAAGGTTAAGATATTTGATTTAGATTAGATTTTTCTTTATTAGGATCTTATTTAGATTAATTAGAAGAAACTTTTTTTTAAGTAGTTTTTGCTTGTACTCGGATTCTATTTTAAGTATTCAATAAAAACGTTAAAATTTACTTAGGATTAATACTTAGAGTAATAATTTTTAATTTAGGTTCTTTAATTAATAATCTATTTCTGACTTAGATGAAGCCTTAATTTTAAGTTTAGTCTCTTTTAAATTTTTAATTACCTTAATCAAGAAGACATTAAAATCTCTAGGATCAATATTAGAGCCTCAATTTTAGGATTAGTATTGTTAAGTCCTTTAAAATTTATAAATCGACACTTTAGATAGATGCAACCTTAATTAACCCATTAGTATAATTAGGTCCCAAATTGGTTGTTTGATTGCATAATTCGTTCTAAAAAATTAAAGGCAATATTCATTTATTAGGGTTTTAATAGTGTATCACCGCTTGTGCTCGAGAGTGGACGTTATTATGTCTAGAAATAAATCGACATTCTTTTTAAATTCTTGCATCATGATTTAAAAACTTAGGCAATATTTATTTAATGGGATTAATGGTAAACCTCCACTCATGCTCGAGGTAATTGTTATTAATTTCTAATTAAATAAATACCCTTTTCAAATCTGCATACATACGAGTCAAAAATTAAATAAAATCTCGAACTCGTATTTTTTAATTTTAAAACAATGGGTAATCAACTAGGTACCAATTTAGGCGTTATGGGGTACAAATCTTTCTCCGCACGTAATCGACTCCTGAATTCATTTTCTAATTTTGTGGACCAAAATTAATATTTTAATAAAATAAAATTTTATTTAAATTATTCGATTTTATGTGGTCCAATCCTACTTTAAAATTAATTGGTGACGACTTCTCATTTTTTATAATTTTCTTAAAACCCTTCTTCGGTCCCAAAATAATCGTTACGACAACTACAATAAATTTAAAAAAATGATGAGTAATATTTTGGGGAAAAATATACAAGTGTAATATTTGGGAAAGTTACCTTAAGGTTTAAGTTTTTTATTTTTTATTAATTTAAAAAATATAAGATAATATATATTTAAAGATAATTTTTAATTATTTAATATTTTTAATATTTTAACTCAAAACATCAAAAAATAATAATAATAATAATAATAACAATTTTTTAGTGTCCCTAAAGTTTTGGTTTCAATTCTCCTAAAAGCATTACCATTTTCATTGCCACGTCAGTGCTACAATCTTTCCAAGCCCGCTTTTTCTCTCTCCTCTTATTTGAGTCGATGTTCATCCAATGCCTGACCTAAAGCCCCTCTCGAGTCTCTTGGATTCTGACCATGAAATCAAACAAGGTAATTCTTTAAACCCTAAACTTAAACCGAGTCATGGCTCGGTTTGTGTTATCTCCTCTCTGCTTCTACATCACTCTGGTATATTTGATTTCCTGTTATATATGTTATATAGGTTCACTTTATTGAGGAGGAATTTTTTTTGTAAAAGGTCTAGGTTTAGGGTAGATAGGAGACCCTTTATCGCCGTTTTCCGCTGCCGAATGTGAAATTTGTTCACACTTGCTATTGAGATAACCCAAGCATAAATTTAGTAGAACGACCTTTGGTTGTTTCTCGAGAAAATTGAAATTTCGTGGAAAAAACTAGAAGTTCTTAAGAGATTGAAGCAATTTGTACCTATCGTCAAAGTGTAAGATAAGAAAAATGTTTTCTGTCGTTTATTGTCAAGCTAATTGACTCTTTTATGCTAATTCGTTGTAATGAACTTTTGGCATAGGATGAAGCTGATGGAGAACACCGTGTAGATGGTAAGGATCATGGAGCGTCTCGGGGTGTTGGTTTGGGTCAAATAAAGGATAATCATAATAATAGTAATGGTGGTGCTGATGTTGATGGTATGGATGATGGAAATGTTAATGGTGACGTTCATGCAGTTATTGATGACACAGCAGATGGTGGATAGATGCGCAAGAGGTAACCCTGCTGGAGACTGCATTGTTGTTGATTGGTTAAAAGGAGAGTGTTGCTTTGACTGCAATAGCACAAGTGGACAGGTTTTGGTCTGCAGAGAAAATGGATGCCCAGTTGCTTTCCACAAGTCGTGCATGACCTGGACACCCAAATTTGATGAAATGGGTAAATTCTACTGCCCTTATTGTTTGTACAAGCAAGAAGTGGCCAAGTTCAAAGAATTGAGACTAGAGGCTATGTTGGTAAAGAAGGATCTATCTGACTTTATATGTTTAAGAAGGGATGGTGGAAATGAAGAGGGGCGATGTGAAACGGTGAGCTTTGAAAGAGCAAGTGTATCAACAATGGCAAGGGAAGTGAGTTCTGGTGGTGATTGTGGAAATGGGCTAAATGATGATGGTAAAGAGACTATATACCATAATCAGGATGCAACACTGAGTTTATCAACAATGACACAGAAAGTGAGTCCTGTTGATTGTGGAAATGGGCTAAATGATGATTATAAAGTGACCACTCCTAATAGTCAAGTGAAATACAGGGGGTTGAGTTGATGAGCAAAGAAAAATCTTATGAGGGAAACATCTCTACAACTCGTGGGTCTGACAAAGTTGGGAATGGAGAAAGGATGCAGGAGGATATAGAAAATCCCAATAGTGAAGATGATGAAACTGATGAGGGAGAGCCAGTGCTCCCTAATGCAGTAGGAACTACCTTCCACAGGCGTCAAAAGCATGACAAACAAACAGCTAACAAGGAATCACCCCTCAAAGTTGTTTCACTGGATAATTCATCATTTCAACCAAGTACCAGTGCAAATAATATGGATTTGAACCAAGAGGGAAACACTGTAACCACAAAAGCCTCTGCAAAGTGGCGGAAATCAACCAAGCAACCGTAAGTTTATTCATGCTTTTCATTTTGTTTAGGGAAGGTAGCATTCATAAAAAAGATCCATCTTTGGGCATGGGATGCATCATAGTTTAGGGTTTTGGTTTTTGGTTAGCTACTAGGCTCCAAAATTACCTTATCTTTTCATTTAAATCGCAGCTTGATGCCCACAGTGGATACTGAAAAGCGTAGGAGACTACACTGGACAGCTGAGGAGGAAGATATGCTGAAGGTATGAAATTATGGATGGTTTCCTCCCTTTTTCTAATTACGCATTTGCTAACATGTATTATGTTCAACTTGATTTTTGCTACGGACCTGTTTCCTTTATTCTTCTTTACAATTGAAATGTAACTTTCATTGGTTAACTTGCATTCCTTCTTTCTTTTCTGTATACGTGTATGTTATATCTTTTTCTAAAAGTCCGAACATCCTTTGGTAACATACTAGAAGGATGTCAGTCCTCAATTCATTATCCTTCTAAATTTCCCATTAAATTAAGAATGTTTAAGCGGTCAGCTTCCGAAACACATAAGCACATGTATAGTTTTCTTAGTAACGGTTATGCTAAGAAAATGGTTTCTATTCTCCATGCCTCTTGCCTTCACTGGCATATGCCCAGGATAGATGGCCTTGACTCTTGGGACTTTTGCTAGATTGAACATTGAGGTAGTGTTTAGGCATGTATGTTTCTTGACTACACTGATTGGATGGCTAGTTTGCTGGAATTGAAGGCTCAATTTTCTGGACTGCAGGAGTTAATACATGAATATTCAACTAAAGCAAACAAAAACATCCCCTGGAGGAAAATTTTGGAACACGGTCAATCTGTTTTCCACTCAACTCGTCTCCCAGTTGACCTTAAGGATAAATGGAAGAATATTGTGGCTAAAGAGATCTCTAAAAGGTAAATGGGGTAGTGATTAAAACTGGAAGAGTAAGGTAATGTTTTTCTGTTGTTAATGTCGGTCTGTCATGCTGGAATTCTCATACAAAGTAGGTAGGTCATATGTCTTACAAGTAGATAAGGTGGTTCAATGTCTCTGTTATTAATATGTTTGTACAGAGTAGGTAGGTGGCTCATCGTCTGATATATGACCACTTTAGTTTGGTGTTCTGCAATATACTTCGATGTTTTTGAAGTGTTCTACAAACTAGATAATGAGGTTTCTTTTTTGCTCCTTTTTCTTTTTTGGCCTAAGTGTATGTTCAGATTGCTTTCTTTTTTTCCCTTTTTGTTTTGTTGGGTTATTCTTTTCATAAGAGTGACTATTTCAACTAAAGCTCATTTTGATGTGAAACCAAATCACCATGAAAAAGTCTAGTCAGCAAAGCTTCAAGTGGATTTATTAATAAAAGACCAAGTGGATATGTATATGATTCAAGTCAGAAATGTCTCCATTTATTATTAAAGTGATTTTTTCAATTGAATTTTTTTTATTAACGACGGTGGAATTTGAATTCCCAGATTTTAATATTTCAACTTAGTAGATGAATTGATAAATATCATGATTGTGGTTCACGATTTGTTGTTATTCTTTTAAGATTATGAATTCGAGTATTACGTATCTCAGAATATGAGAATTTATTGTCGAATGATTAAGAAATGTGAACAAATGATACTTTGAATGCACTTAGATTTGTCGAAAAAGAATATTTATATTTTAAAAATTTTATTGAAAAATTAATTTAATATATTTGTTGGATCAAAGTTTTTTTAAAGGAGTTGAGTTTGATTTGACAATAAGATAAAAAAAATTGATTTGTTCCGAAATAATATTATAATTATTTTTTGTATATTTATAAATAATTATATTAATAGAATTTTTACTAATTATTTTTATTTAAATTCTTATTTTATCTAATAAAAGCAAATATTTAGATTAAATTAAGTACAAGTTTTGACCTAAAAAATTGAGATGAGTTTCGGAACGAATGAGATTAGTTTAAACCTCGATTTGAATGTGGTTTGGGAAATTTAATTTTAAGATCAAATTTAGGTGAAAAAACTGATCAGACCCATGATGGTCCCTCATCACATACATATACATGCAAAAAAATAGGTTCAAAATAGGAATTAATGAGGGAAAAAAACATTGCTTGTGCCAAGACTTTTGAACATATCAAAAGACTGAAAATTAGAATGTATTAGCGACCATTTCAAGTTCACATGAATCAGATCTGGAAAAAGTAAGATTCCATTGCTTCCTATAAATGTAGGAAAAGAAACTGCAAAACAGAGCATCGTAGGATACATTAAAGGCAAAGAAAATGAGGAGGAGCGGCTCCGTCACATATGCTTTGTTACTAGTTAGCTAACATTTTGGTGCCTATGGCTATATCTATCACCCGCAGATGCAATAATCCCTCAGTTTTCAGCCATCCAAGGTTTCATTCCCCTCATCTTTTTTTCCTTTTCTTTCTAAAATACCCATTAGATGTGTTAAATATAAATTCAAATGTAACACAAAATATATTTTAAATAAAATAATCGTATTTTAAAGGCATATATATATATGGGCAAGATCTAATTATATTGTGTAAAATTTTTTTACTTTTACACTTTTTTAAGATCATTAGATCAGAGAAATTAAAGACTGGAATTAACAGTAGAAAATGAAAAGATTTTCACTAAAGTAAAAATGAGTATTGTTCTCTTTAAAAATTTTGCATATGAATAACTATATCCGTAGAAAGTGTATTGTTAATGACTAAGAAATATTATGAACAAATAATATCTTATAATTATTTCAGATTATTTTAAAAAGTTTAAATTAAAATTTAATTAAAATATTTTGAAATTTTGAATTATGTAATTAATATTTTTTTTAGTAATTTAATTTAATATTCCACCCGTACTGTAGAAAATTTATACCATCGAAGTTTGGTCCGTCGAGTCTGCTGAAGAATGATCCGCGACCCAATCCCTCTCCGCAACAAAATAGACCGCCACGTCAAAGGGGTCCGCCTCCAAAACCGAACTAAGCCATCGGTTCACCAGAAATATAACTGAAATCAAAATCGGAGATAGTGAAAGCTACTTTCTATCCAAAGAAAATAGAAAAAATAACCTCAGTGACCAAAAATGCCTTATAATATACGATTTTAACCAACTTTTTTTGGATTTGCCAAAATGACCAACTAAATCGCAATGTGATCGATAATTTGCAATGCGATTTCCGGTATCGCAAATCAGTTTTCAGATTCACAACGCGATTCTGACTATCGCATTGCGATTTTCCAAATTCGCGTTGCGATTTTCCGACTATCGCAATGCGAATATGTAAATCGCAATGCGAGTATGACTATCGCAATGCGATTCTGACTATCGCAACGAGATTCTAACTATCGCAACGCGATGCTAACTATCGCAATGGGATTTTCAAAGCGCCATTATTATCGCAACGCGTGTTTTTTTTTCAAATTCCAAACACGAATATTAATATATCGAACACTGAGCCATCCCCAGTATATCCCGTAATCGCAACTCATAACCTAAAACCCTAAATCACAACTCAATCTCATCTCCATCTCTCACTCTCTAAGGCGACATCCATCCCCATCTCCGACGAAATCAGTCCCCATCTCCGGCGAAATCCGTCTATCTCCATCTCTCAGAGCCACCCTCACAATCATTCACGGTTAGAAATGGAAAATCAACCAAATCAACCACCGAGGGTTAGTTTTTTTAATTATTTTTATTTTGAATTTTTTGCATTATTATTAGGTTTTTCATATTGAAATTGATGATAAGTTTACTGGTAATTTCAATAATAGATTAACCATTTCATTTAGATTGCTTATTAAATTCATTCGATTGCTGCCAATACTGCTAAACTATTTAGTCTTTAAACCATGTGAATTTAGTATTTGTCTTTGTTTTGTCTTTTGGTTGAAGTAATGCAATACATTCAAGTTTCAATTTTAGTATTTGAAACCGAGAATCGCAACGCGAAATGAAAATCGCAACGACAGAATCGCAATACGATTTTAGTTTCGCGTTGCGATAGTTAAATTCGCGTTGCGATAGTCATTTTCGTGTTGCGATTTTCATTTTCGTGTTGCGATTTTAAGTTTCAGAAACTATTCTTCTTCTGCAAATTGAAACTTGAATGAATTGCATTACTTCAACAAAAAAACAAAGACAAATACTAAATTCACAGTTTTGCAAATTTAAGTTTGAAGAATAAACTACTACTCTTTATGTTTATTGTTCTTGGTATATCTTCACAGTGTAGTTTTTGGTATATCTAACTTGGTATGTTTATTGTTTTTGTAGAATTTTTATTCGGCTCAATTGACCTTAAGAAATAAATTAAGCCTGGCCAAAACAATTGCGTCGAAGCTTTCACCTGCACAAAGAAAAATATTTGAGGATACTTGCTTCGGGCCATGGCTGAAAGTACAACATCCGGGTGGAGATGCTATGTTGACCCATCTGTTTCTTCAAACCATGACTAGCGATCTACCAGAGACTATACAACGTCGTGATGAAGAGATATGGTTTGATTTTCCACCGGTGTATACGTGTTTTAGGCGGGAGGAGTTTTGCTTAATCACCGGTCTACGCTTCAGACATGATGATGTAGGTCGGTACACTAGACATATTACCCGCCTATCATGGTTATCCCGGGTTTTTCCTGAGCTGTCAATGGAGAAGCCGAATTTACACGTGAAGACTTGACGAGATTATTGCATAAGAAAGATGGTTTTACTCGGATGGATGATGTCGATGTTGTCCGAGCATGCCTTCTAATACTTTTGCATGCCATGTTTTTAGGCAGAAAGGCCAGACAACCTATTCCTAATGATCTAATTAAATTGGTAGAGGACCTAAATGCATGGAACCTGTTTCCGTGGGGTTCGTATCTATGGAAAGCTACATGGAATAAGTTGTTGTCTGCCTTTGATGATCGAAAAAGTTTGCGTGGCGATGGTTCCAAATACACTTTGTTAGGCTTTATTTGGGCCTTTAAGGTAAGAATTTTTATATAATGTTTCCAAAATTATAATTAATTATTATTTAACAATTACTAATGTTTGTTATTATATTGTTTGTAGATTTGGATATTTGAGGCCTTTCCCGCCATGCAGACATATGCATTAAAAACTTCTAATTATATTCCTAGGGCTATTTCCTGGAAGAGGAAACGGACCTTGCAGCAATGGGAAGATTTACTATCGTATACGAAAATAAATAATGTAAGTTAACACAAATACTACCATATGTTTATAAACAAGTAATTACTAGTACATGTTTAACTTTGTTTGAGCTTTTATATTGTTAGGAGTCCAACACTCCATTACAGAGGCTGACACCCACGGAAGCTGAGCTTGCCACTGATTGGTGGCAAGCTAGTAAGAATTTTTTTGATGGCACGGATGATGAGCAGCCTCCACTTCGAGAGCCATCACCTCACCCAGAGCCATCACCTGATCGACCCGACTATACACCTCCACAATGAGAGCCATCACCTATTCTGTCACATCATCGAGCCTCTTCTCTACCATCACCTCATGATAGGCGACCGACAAAGATGCCACGACGTTTATCTCCCTGTTCTCCACCTCCACGGGATGAGTTAGGGGAGTTACGTGATGAGGTCAATGCATTGCGTGAGGAGGTTGGTACTTTACGCGATGACAATGGTGCATGGCGTGTTGAGGTGTCTACTTTACGTGGTGAGGTAGCCGCTCTACGTGAGATGGTAGCATCATTGTAGAATGAGGTTCATACTCTACGCAACGAGGTAAGTTTAATATTTTTCATATTTAACTTGATGATAAATTTACTCATAATTTCACTTAGATTAACCATTTCACTTAGATTAACCATTTCACTTAGATTAACCATTTCACTTAGATTGCTTAGTAAATTCATTCGGTTGCTGCCAATACTGCTAAATTGTTTATTCTTTAACCTTGTGAAGTTAGTATTTGTTTTTGGTTGTCTTTTGGTTGAAGTAATGCAATCCATTCAAGTTTTAATTTGCAGAAGAAGAATAGTTTACTTTCGCAATGCGAAAATGACTATCGCAATGCGAATTTGACTATCACAACGAAAGAATCGCAATGCGAAATATCGCATTGCGATTCTTTCGTTGCGATAGTCATTTTTGCGTTGCGATAATCATTTTCGCGTTGCGATAATCATTTTCACGT